CTCAGCAGGGTACCTTGACTAGGGAGCTCAGTATTCCGCGTGCCTCGGCTTGGGATGTGGGACCGAGATGCCCCAACAAGAGCATGGAGCGCCTCCTCGCATATCGTGCTAGATTGGATCGGCTGACCGACAATGAGGTTAACTGGCTCCCGTACAGAGTTGATCCGGTACGACGCGTGCCACCCACTTTATTTATTCGCTGCATCCAGTATCGGAGTATCATTGAGCCATACATGCCTGATCGAGTCGTTCGACAGCTGGGATTCGTGCAGGACATTTCGAGGACCATTATCAGGCCTAAGAAGGCTAAGAGACCGACGAACTTGAAGATGTACCGGGTAGAGTTTCCGACTGAGATGACATCAGTGATGTGGACTCGGTTTGTCCCTGGTTCGTATTTCAGTGTTGTTCTAGGTGCCCTCACCCGACTCGCCGGTGGAGCTCCTACGGTCGGTCCTGGTTATATGCAGTGGCTCTACCGATTTTCTCATCCTCGTATTTCTCCGGGTGGGTCATCAGCTGGGGGGGACAGACTTCCAGAGAGGACTAACACGGACTATGTAAGCACTTGTGTTTTATTATACTTTAAATTCCATTTACACTAATTGTGAATTATATAACTAATGTGTTGTTCTCTTATTTGCAGTGGATGGGTCGGTCCATGGAGATTCACCGCAGATCACTGGCGGAGTATCCCAGCATGTCGCCTGACACGAGGGGAATGACTGAGTAGCTAATATTTGACTGGCAGACGATGATGGGGCTGTGAACCACTTGTCTTTTTGTTTACTGTTAGCCGGTTCATTTGAAACTTTGTGTTGTAAATAAAAATAATATAATTGCGGGTTTTGTTTCAACTTTGTATCATTACTTTGATTGATTGCTTTATATTACATCCCTAAAACTGTTCAACCTAATTACATAAATTTGTTCAACCTAATTACATAAATCTGTTCACTGCCCAACTAATGCACCCCACATGTTCCTTCTAGCGATATATTGCTGATCCCATCCATCGACACTTGGCTCGTGGTTCTCTGTCCACCATCCTGAGATCGGGGGAAGAGGTGAATTTTCGACTAGATCAATGCAGATGAAATGTGACCCCTCGACTGTAGCGATTACAAATTCCCGTGCTGGTGCTCTGACCCCGTTTCGTGCCCGCAACGGTAAAATCCTGAGGCAAGGGTAATAGCAGGTCGGTACGTTACCTACACCAAGCATAATAACCATTGCATTGAACCAAGTAGCAATAGGAAATAAATATTGAATAGCAACCATCCAGTACCGTGAATTAACAACCCCACCATCCCATCGAATGTGTTCCACATTCAGCTACACCCTTCCTATCCCGTATATCCTTTCGTACAAACCAACCGATACGGGAAGAAGTCAAACCAGTTCGCTTGATCTTCGAGGAAGAAGTCGACCACACAACGAAATCCACAGTTACCATCGCCAATGACATCCTTCCATGCCGTGATGTAAGGCAACATCGGTCCTGGGAGCAAGTGCAAATGCCGGCATTGGCGGATGTCACCTTGATCTTCTGCCCCTGCACAATTTATGTTTTCGTTATGAGTACGCTAGGAGTTGAAATACGTGTAAATCACAAAATTAATAGCAATCCGTACCTGTTTGTTGCACACCACGTTCAGTGTTTCGACGGTCCACATATTCGAAGTAACTGAGATTTCATCTAGTATCGTTGTTCCTTCGGCAACCGAACGTTGTGATTTACTTGTGGTTCTTCAAGGTTTGAATGATCCGGATGCAGCTCCTCCTCAATGATCCGAGATACATTTTGAAGTACAGTAGGATCACTACCAACGACCTCATCAACCAGGGAACGGAAATGTGCAACTTCCTTGTTAGAGTCGTTAACGAACTCCGGTACATTAACACCATCGCCGATAACCAAGGTCTTCCAGAACGGATGAATTTGCCTTGTATACAAGCTTGTTTGCGCAACCAGCGAGTCATGTATCTGGCAAGCGCAAGGCAAACCATGGGTCACACGCATTGCACATCCACAACGCTCATGCACCTGGTAACTCAGCTCCCTCATCCTTCTCGTCTCGTCATCTAGTACTTTCAGACAACGCTGAGACACCTTGCCGTTAATAAAGGACAGTGGCAACTGTCTGTACTTCTCACCGATCTTCGACCTTGACGCCTCCAATGAATTACGAATGACAATGATCTGGTTGCCAATATGACAATGTACTCGGGCCCATACGGTATCCAAAGAACCTGCCATTGAAGTTAATTATAAAAAAACCCGTTGGTATTTACAAAAAAATGGAACTAAAACAAAGTATATACACCAACTAACAAAATTCCAACAACATACCTGTCGAAGATTCAAACCACATCTTCACGGCCGAATGTTGACTCTCAATTCTGCAAGTACTCGTGTTACCTAAGTGCATAACCTGGTTCGTCTAAAAAGTCACAAATTTGGTCTTATGACAAAGCCAAGTTCTCTCAACATAACTAATCACTGCCGGGAAACTTGCCCACCGAGTTTTCAGTCTATCTACAGCAAAGTTATAATGCACCTCGGTCGCAGCATCCATGATACGTTTCCAAACACCGTTTTTGAATTGCCCCCCTATCTTCTTGTTTTTGAACATATAGGTGACCCGAGCCTCCAAATCTTTGTTAATGTGCCATCAACAAAGCAAATGCGACGTCCCGGGAAACACTTCTCTCAATGCCGCACAAAGGCCAAGCTAACGGTCTGTCAGAAATACCGACGACTCCTTATCATACCCAATTAACTCTCTTAATCTCTGTAGAATCCACCGGTAGCTTCCCGTGCACTCGTTGCGCATGAACACATAACCGACGAGGAAATTCTGATTTGTCGGTGTCACACCAACTATCTCAAAGAACGGCATCCCGTATCGGTTGGTCTTGTATGTCGAATCCATACCGATCACATACGGGTACGTCCGTAGTATGTTCACCGTGATCGGGTGCACCATAAACACATGTTGTAGAACGCCGACATCATCAGACATGACCCAGTAAATATACTGGCTCTGTCTCGCCAAATGCAGAAATTGCTGAACAACTCCTCTCCCATCAGACATCTCCGCTCTCAAGTCATTCCGGCAGTTGTAGATATGTCGGATGTTTGGATGATCATCGGAAAATTGCTCTGCAATAGTTGCCATGATGTTACGCGGTGCAACCTTGGACTTTGTCATGTCCTGCACAACCTTCTTCGCATCCGGGCTCAAGCCACTAATCTTACGATGACCCTCCGGATAGACAATCATTGGATGGTTATGGGTCCCAGTTGCATCATTTTTGGCCCGGATCTTCCAACTGTCGGTGACGAAGACATAATAAATCTTGATGTAGAAAGGACAACCAATTGCTTTGGTTTTGGTGTCCCTCCTAATTGCATTCTCAAGATCTCTCGGCTGGCTCTTTCGGCCCCTATCACACGTCAAATACCGGTACGGCCGACCATCTCTGGTTTTGTTGTAAGACGATTTAACCAAAATAAAACCCAGATTTATGGCAACAGCATCCGCCCACTTAACTGCCTCATCAAACGTTGGAAACAACGTGTCTGTGACAAAATGCGTACTATAATTCACATCGTCTTCGTACTCCGAACCCTATAAAAAAAAATTAACACACAAAATACGCAAATATTTTAGTTCTAATTCTAATATTAGTACCAATGTTTTTAAAACAACATTAACAATAATCATAACAATACTAAAAATAATATAAATAATCATAACAATAATAAAAAAAATTATCGAAACAATAATAAAAATAATCATAACAATAATAAAATTAATCTTAACGATAATAAAAATAATAATAATAATCACAATAATAACAACAATAATAATAATAATAATACTAATAACCAATAACACACAAAAATTAAAAAAATTAATAATAACCATAATCATAATAATAATAATAACAACCATAATAATAATAATAATAATAACCATAATAATAATTGTAATAATAGCAACACTAATAATAAAATAATATTAATACTAATAATCAATAACATTAACAAAAAAAATAAAAATAAAATTAAAACACGGACATACGCCCAAAATATCCGGATCCTCCACGGATGATCTGGATGTTTTGGGCGGATGTCCTTAAAAACAGAAAAAAAAAATTCACGAACTTACAGAATCTTCCGACGATGCCTCCGGTGTGCGGTCGTTGTCGTCGTTCCACATATTAAGCCCGTGGCTTCATCTTCTGAAAAATTTTGTGAAAAAAAAGGATTTGTCTTGGCCTCACTCGGGAATTTTGGGGCTCGGGATTTTTTAAAGAAAAGTATGAGTGAAAATGCTCGATAATGTTTTCAAAATGATCGTGATTCGTTATGACAAGGCGGTGGACCCTTAAATAGCACAAAATAAGTAAAGGGCAAAATGGTCATTTCACACAAAAATAGGAGCGACACTCTGTAAAAAGGGAGCGACAAATAGCATTCCACTATTATATTGGTTTAACTAAGTAACATTAAAGTGAGGGATAGATAAAGTGGTTAAAGCTTCCCAAAATTAATAACATATAAATGTGACTTTATTATGTAAATGTTATTGAATTAGTCCGCGTAAATTATCATAAAAATATTTTTTTTATGTTTTTATTAATAAACTTAAAAAATGTTGTAACTCAAAGTTGTGCATTGACAGAAAGTATGTGTTGTTTAATGTTATTTAAGCTAATTATAAATAACTTTAAAGTGACCGTGCATGGCACATGATCTAAACTAGTTTCAAGTTAAAAAGCAGCTCAACGAAAGTTAAAATAACACATCATATACTACTAGTTCGAACTACTTTATTTATTTATTTATTTTTAGAACACCAACACACCATCAATCATTCATTAAGTAAGAGAGAATCTGAGAGTAAATACGAGGCGACCTCATGGAGACAGTGATTAGCCCAAGCCCAAACCTGCTCAACTCCCAAAGGAACGATTCTAGCTAAGTAATGAGCTACAAAATTCCCTCCCTTTTAACGTAAGACCAAGAAATAAAATTAAAACACGAACAAATGTCTAAGACATCATCAAGGATATTGTCGAGATCCGATAAAAAAGTTGAGGCTCTATCCAATCTGTCCACCACTATCTGCGAGTCCGACTCAATCACCACCTCTTGAAGGTTGAATCTCTTACTAAGCTTGGCACCAAAGTAGATCGCCATACATTCAGCAACTGCCGGAGACCAAAAACCTCTGACACGCCTCGTTCCAGCAAACAGGACCTGACCCTTTGCGTTTCTAGCCACTGAACCGAGCCCCACCCATCCACCATCAAGGATTGCAGCATCGCAGTTCACCTTAATAGCATTGGCTAGGGGTGCTTTCCATACTTTTGGGCTTTTATCACGCATAACAATCCTCCCCCCATAAACCTTTGAAGCATAATTGTTGTAGTCAGTCACTAACCTGTGGACTCTCTCAAGCAGCAGCAGGTGTGGAATCTCTTTGTAGTTGAAGATGTTCTCATGGCGACGATGCCAAATAAACCACACAAGAACCGCGCCTGTCTGCCTGATTTTCATATCATACTTACCCCATGACACAATCCAGTCAAGGCAACCATCAGTCTTGTAATCTCTGAGCAATATATCACAATTTGCCTCAGTCCACTTGGACAAAAAGTGGACTAAGCCAAATTGTGATATATACCACTTTAATTAATTCCAAACAATTGGACAAAAAGTGCACTTTAGTACACATACCTATACTGTATATTTGAGTGTGTTAGAAGTGCATTAGTGTATATTTGAGTGTGTTAGAAGTGCATTAGTGTTGCAGAATTCAAGAATTTACAACCCATACAAAGTACTACAAGAATAGTGATCAGACACCAATCTACATATTTGGTATGATATTGAATATTTAAACATCAAACTTGCAAAATATCTCAAACTTTAGTAGTATGTTAAGGAGTCTTCCTCTCAGATGGCAATTTTGCTGCTTGCGGAGATAATGGAGCTAATGTTATATCAGCTGTAGATATCGCCCCTGACTGATCAACATCAAGTTCTTCAAATTCTACCATTACAAGTGATATATCTTCCTGTGTAAATTTTCCCATCTCTTTCAACTTATATAAAGCAAACTCGGCAGCACTGCAGATGAAAACATTCCGAAAATCAGAACAAACTTATGGATGAACCATTTACAGATGTAGAGGAGGAAAGAAAAGAAACATATAAAAATGATACTTGGATTATTGGATAGTATCTTAAATTTCACATACTCAATAACTCCATCATCGTCGAGATCAGCTGCCTCTATATCAAAATCAGTCATGCACCGGGTAAGAACACGCTCAACCAGATGATTCTGTCTCCTTTCAGCATGTAACTCTGCAAGATAAAGGAAGAACTGCGCTACACATATGGTTCCGATCAAAATCCACAAGATTGCAAAAACACGACCTCCCAATGAACTGAAACTTGGGTATCCATATCCCAGGGTAGAAACAGTAGCACACACACAATAAAATGCCTCAAAAAATCTCATCTTCTCAACAAACTTCAGAAAGAGTGTTCCACTTAGCATGAGAAACAAGAGAAATACAAAAATCAAGACAACTTTATGCTTTGCTTTGTTTCTTTTAATTTTCTTCATAATGTCACTAGGACCAAATTCATGACTCATATGCAATGCTCTAACAAGCAGTGCCTCCTGCTTCTCAACAAGGTAATCTGCCGCCTTGCTAAGGATCAATCCAATCAAAGCCAGCCCTACGAAGACATAAGCAGCAGCAAAGAGCTTTGCAAGGTCGGTATTTGGAGCTAGGTCCCCATACCCAGCCGCAGTCATTGTGATCACACAAAAGTAAAGAGCATCAAGTACAGCATTTGTCTTTTTACCACTGATCTGGTTTCTGATCAGGTAGAAGCAAAGAACACCAACACTCAGGTATATAATCAAGGCCGTGGCTACTTTTCTGAGGCTTGGGTGAATACTCTTCAATAGGTTATCTAGACTTTTTGTAGAAGCATTATCAGCTGTATCACTACTTACTTTTTCAGAAAACTCCCTGACAGGAGCACTCCTTGCACGGCGAAATCTCCTTTTCTTGGCACCATCCTTCTGAAGACGGAATTCTTTTCTAAAACCAAAAGATTCTGATAATGCAACTTCCTTTAAGTTGTTACTGGCCATCATATACCAATGTATCACCTGCAAAACACCATAAGCTTAAGTAGTCCCTTCCAGGGAAGAATTGCAATTCTAAACGAGTTCATTTCTTAGTTGTAAATATACCACAGGTTAAAATCATAGCAACCAAGTTTTAGTACAAACTTACAAGATCAGATGTCAGATAACAATCATGATAACCCTATCTCAGATTTGGAAAAAGTGCCAAAATCCAATCTTATTGTGGGTTATCTTCTACAATATCTTTATGTATGTGTATGAAATAATTAAACCCTTGACAATGGCCCATATCTAAGATAGATTCATCATCATTAATTCATTATGCATCTCCCAAGAACAACAATAACAAAGCCTTAGTCCCAAAATGATTTGGGGTTGGCTAACATGAATCGTCATAAGGAATCCCCCAATATAAGGATCCCGTTCCCACAAAATAGGTGGATCAATTCTTTGTATGATCTAACCCCTTGCCAATATTAACGAACTCTTTCCAAATATCCCCCACAAACAAGTGCTTGTAGAAAACACTAATCTGATAATATAACAGGAAAACATAAACTAGCAAAGAGAGACGAGAAAGTAGGACTTACCAAATTAAAAATGGAGCTTATAACAGAGAAAATCTCAACTTGTTGAACTCATGATATCACAAGACAAGAATATCTGAAAATATGGTAACCGAAATACATGAATAATAATTTTCTTTTAAAAAAAAATTAATACAGTCAAGTATTAAGTAAGATACCCAGTAGTACTTTTAAGTCAGTAAAACACTCCTGGACTGACCTGATGGGGATTGAATATTGTTTTGACAGCAGGCTCAAATTACATAATAAATAGATACGGAGTAAAAGTAAGTCTACCTTCTCCTCCATTTAAGTTCCATGTTCACATGCTTGTGCTTCCCTAAATTTACAAATTACAAAAAAAAAAAGAAAAGAAAAGAAAGATGTATAAAATAATCAAGAGGTGTTACTACCCATGCTATATCTCCATACTACATTTAGTATGACTTTAATTGTATGATTTTTAAATATTCAACACCCACGATTGAGTTTGTCTACATCACTACCCTTAGTGATTTCCTATACACCAAAGAAAAATATACTGAAATACATATAGTAGTTGGTTTTACATCAATTTTTACTTTCAAAACTAACAATAGATAAACTGATAGCTAAACAAAGATCAGTTTTTGCACTTCTTGCTGGTAACATTCATTTCAAAAAGGTTAGGCAAGAGTAATTTATAGAAAAGACACATTAAAGAATATTGAAACCTTGTATTTAAAGCAAAAGTTAGGCAACCCGCCAACCTGTATTGAAGCATATTACTTCGGAAAGTAAGATTCTAGGCCACATTATTGGAAATCTATTTAGAGAACTTTGAAGAGTATCACAGGGGCAATCACAGGTAGCACTTTACTGCTATGCCATGTATTTACGTATTTGCATCCATAGTAGATCTCCGTCAATAGAGATTTTGCAGTCAATAAGCCTGGAAGATCCAAAGATTGAATGGTTTTCTACTGAAGTGTTGTTCTGACAAATCCCGAACTTGTATGATGATAAGGGAGAATGGCTCTCCAGGAAAAGCATAGCTAGGAATAAAGGATCTGACCTCGCAGATAGCAATCAGCTCTGGTGACTAAGACGATTCCTGTATATTCTACTCCAATACACGGTAAAAGTCATGGCATCTGACTCGAACAAAAGACAATCCCAACTGTGGGAGTTTTCACTTTTATCCCATACTCTCCTTCCTTTCACCTCTAGCAAAGAGGTCATTATTGCAAAAGCCTGACAGCGTGATAGATACAATCCAGTTACATAAACTTCGAAATCACGCATCATTGGGGTTATACTGTTGTTGCCCAGAATACTAGATTAGTTGGAACTAAAAGAAAGATAAACAAAAAACGATGTACTAGGCATATAGGCAAAAAGCCTTCCAAAATGATGAAGATAGTATGCAAAGATGCCACAGCACATGTCAGACTTAAAACTCAGGAAATTACATGAGACAAGCTGTGAAGAATTAACCGGCATTTTTATTGTATGCAAGTTCTCTGTATAACAGCATCATAGGTTATAATAAAGATATATCACGTCCTAGTTTGGAGCTAAATTCCTAGTACAGTTACAGATACATAGCAGCTGAGCAAAAGCTAAGAAAAGTTAATCATAATTTTAGTATATGAACTGAAGAGAGTTGGATTAAAATGAGATTCAGAACCGTGGTTAAAGCATGGCCAGGAGATTGAGGAATAAGTGAAACCAGAGAACTCAGAGATCGAGCCACTTACAACACAGTTGATGTGATCTTGAATATTCATATACCCGGTATATATTATATATAGACAAATCAAAGTCTCAAATATTTTCAAAAATGCCTTATCAACAAGGTCTCCCCTGACTAGAAGTCGATCCTTTTGCTTGTGGAGATGATTGAGCTAGTGCTAAATCAGACACGGATAAAGTTCCTGACTGATCAACATCCAATTCTTCAAATTCTTCCATCATAAGAGATATATCGTCCTGAGTGATTTTTCCCAACTCTTTGAGCTTATATAGAACAAATTCAGCAGCACTGAAAGAATTCAGAATACAGAACAAAGTTAATGGAAGCACATAATTTACTTAATGCTGGAAAGACTTTACTTTCTTAAAATCAAATAAGTCAAGATTAGGCCAAAAAGTTCACATATATTAAGAGAAGTTAACATTTGTTCAGATAAGGGCTAATAAAGAAGCTAAGATGCATAACTTTCACTTACTTAACAACTCCATCATCATCGATATCAGCAGCCTCAAGATCCACATTGGTCATATGTCGAGTAAGAACACAGTGCACAAGGTACTTTTGTCTCTTTTCAGTGTTTATCTCAGTAAGATAGAGGAAAAACTGAGCTAAGCATATTGTGCTTGTCAAAATCCACACAACTGCAAATAAACGACCTCCCTTAGTAGAGAAACTGCGATCACCATAACCCAGGGTAGTGATGGTACAGCAAACACAATAAAACGCGTCTACAATATCCAACTTCTCAACGAATGTCAAGAAGAGTGTTCCAATCATGATGAGTATCAAGAGAAATATTAATGACAAGATGAATTTGTATCTAGATTTGTTTGTTTCAATTTCCTTCATAATATCGCTTGGACCGAGTTTTTGTCTCATATGCAAAGCTTTCACCATCAATGCCTCCTGCTTCTCAACTAGATAATCTGCTCCTCTACTAAGAACCAATCCAACCAAAGCCATGCCTATGAAGACAAAGGCACAAGCAAGGAGCTTTCCAGAGACACTCTGTGGGACCAGGTCCCCATATCCGACTGTTGTCATGGTGACAATGGTGAGATAAAGAGCATCAACTACGTCATTTGTTTTTTGACCAATGATGTGATCTCTGACTAAGTAAAAGCAAATGACGCCAACAACCAGGTAAATGAACAAATATGCAGCAACTCCTATTAAACTAGGATGCAGACTCCCAAATACGGATTCAGATATTCTAGCAGAAGCCGCGCTGCCATCTACATCTCCAGGAATAAGCTCAGCGAGAGGTGCACTCTTTACCCGGCGAAACCTTCTCTTCTTGACTGCATCCTTTCCATTTGAGGGTTTTGATATTAGGGACTCCTTTAAGTCATTATTATTGGCCATCAGACCATGTCACGCCAATAACTGTTATTTTTCAGTTATCACCTACAAAACTCCAGAAGTTTAGGAATTCATATTCTCATCCAGAGAGAAAAATAGTCTCATCATGTAAACACAAACAAGGATTTACATAGAGAGTATTATGTACAACATATTTTTCGGAATTAGTGACAGCATTTATTCCCCTGATTTACCAGAGCAACTGTTTTAGCTCATATCATGAAAGGAATTTTTTTAATCACAATGAAGGAATTTTTCCTAGGTATATGCAAGATTCGCAACAAACACACAAATTTGACAAATCGGTTACCACAATGAGCTAGTACCTGTGGCAAGCTCTACACATTAGAAAATTCAATAATCTCCACAAGTCAGCAAGCTGCAGTTTAGAATTTGATTCAGCACATATTTGACCATCTATTATTTTGTCTGAATCTAACTCCTCCCCAGCAATGCCTTTGTCATTTAATTCAACAAATTGCTAAAGAACTAAACACATTGCTTGCATATTATTTGCTTGACTTTGGGAAAAAATGTAAGCCAGTAGGAGGGTATCTGACATTCTACAGCTACACAGTACCCTTGACTTTCAAATTCCAACCTTCATAATATCATAAAAGACTTTCTAGTTAAAAATAACCCTTGGCTTTTTAATGTGGGTCAGTCAAAACTTGAGAAGTCACACTCAACGACAATCAAGTTACATCAAGATAAAATTCGTAACTTAGGATACAAGTGAATCAGGACACCTCAGTAGCAAAAAATTTCAATAACAATTGGAGCCGAACACATCTACCATCATGAAGTTTGTCTAGTGATAAGAAATTAATTGTACCATAATGATCTTCAACTCTTCAAGTAAAAAGAATGCAGCCAGTTGAAGTTCTTATTGAAAAAAATGGCTTCTACTACTCTATTCTAGATAATGAGGCCTAGCTATTTCAATCTTTTTAATGGAAATCTGCTTAGTATAAATCACTAATCATCGTTGACCAAAAGTATACAAGCGTCTTATCCCCTTTCCAACACAGTGAAGCATGGCATGAATTGCATAATGGACTAACATGAATACGGTGTGCCAAATGAAGACGCCTACTGCTAGTCTGCTACTACTATCCCACTGCAAACATAGTGCCAGTATCAATTCAAGTACCACCAAATCCGCATTCTACCCATTCTTTTTTTTTTTATATCTTTTGCATTACTGCCAATCTACGAGCCAATGAAACCCACCCCCAGAGGTTGGGAGTACAAAGAGGATTTCTCCCAGGGTATAAAGTTATATATAAACCACTCTTAACAGCTCTGCAATCCTACTGCCATTAACCCACCACCACCACCTTCCACCAAGAGCCACTTAATACCATTACCACCTCGCTTTATAGTATATAACTCCGAAAAATCATCGTGTATACCACATTACCACCACACAGATATATATCATCACAGTCCCACCATAGCCAATCTACATAGTCTACAAAACCTGTGATTGCATACATTGTTTATGAAAATAGAATTCCTAATAAAACTAATTACAGCTTAACTTTCCCAATTCATGCCAATCAATGGGTTGTTCTTGTTTCGTCTCTAACAGTGTGTTTGGTTATAGAAAAGGGAAGGAAAAGAAGGGGAGGGAGGAGAAGAGGAGGGGAGGGAAAGGGAGGGAAGGGAAGAATGGTGAGTTTTCCTTCCAAATCTCTCCATTGTTGGAGGGATCAATTTCCTATAATTTAATCCCTCCATTTCTCTCCCCTCCAATTCCCTTCCTTCCTCATCTGTTATCCAAATGAAAGAAACTCAATCTCTCCATTTCCCTTCCCTTCCTTTCCCTCCATTTCCTTCAATCCAAACACACCATAAGAGTTCTTCGCATTTCAACACAATTTAATGGGCAATTAGAACATCTAAAGATGGAGTAAAAACGAAGTAAGCAAAATACAGTAGAAACAACAATAATACAGAAGTCCCAAAAATGGCTCAGTAACTAATAATTTAACACAATTTAATGGGCAATAAGAATTCATCAAAGAAAATCAACATAACTGAGTAAAATTAAAAGAGTAACAAGCAATTATACTACTGAGGAAGATGGGTTAATCAGGGAAGACAAACAAAGAAAGTAATTAAAATGGGGAAAAAACTTACAAAGTAAAACTGGGCTAATTTCCAAACTGAAGATCAAAACTTTGATTTTCCTGCAGTTTGGCAAGAGAGAAAATTACAAGGAGATAACTACTGAATTTGAAGATCCAAATAAAAATCCAGGCCAAGTGTAAACTGTAAAGTTAGCCAAATAAAGGCCAGTTAAGCTGAAAACTAGGAAGTGCTCGTGGGCCGCTTTAACAAATTGAACACCAAATGCTACCGTAAAAGTGGAAACTGATTCAGCATGTTTCCAAGGTAGAGGTGTAAAAAACTCATCCGGCCTGATCCGATTCGACCTGATTTGAAAGCAAATAGATTATGATTTTGACATGTATGTGCACAATACTGCTCGATGCTATTAAACCCGATTCAAACACTTGAACTAACACCAGTTATTTTAAGTGTTAATTTGTGTGTAGTGGGTTTACAATATTGTTACTATATCCTTGTATTGCGATAATTTAAATCTAATTGACGATTACTTTAGTTTTGATCATCTTTGTTCATTAGAAAGTGATAACTAATATGATCACCTTTATACCTTATAAGTGGGGTTGGGCACAATAGGTTAACCGTACCGTTTAGCCTTAACGGTATGGTTAACCGTTATGTCAGTTACTAAACAATGCGAACCGTAACCGTACCGTTAAGGAACGGTTAATCGGTACCCGTTTAATAAATTTAAACTCAACATTGTATTTTATTTCAAACATTAATTAAACAATAAAATTTATGTTCCAATTAAGAGTACACTTCGATAAACCAAATATATTACAAATTTTAAATTACTACGAGTAAGTTATTTTAAAGCATAACAGACATACAATCTAATGATATTATACATATTAAATTAGCATCTTCAAATTGAGACCATGGAATATTGGCAGACTAGCAACCTAGAAGATCAATTGCATCATTAATTTATTTTATATTTCCCCTAAAAAATTAAATAAAAACATACATAATTATTTTAACGGTTAACCGTTAAAATAAAATTGTAACCGTTTGCTTAAAGTTAACCGTAACCGTAACCATTAACCGCTATTTCGGTTAACCATAACTGTCTAATTTAAACGGTTCGGTAAATTAACCGTTTAAACGGGCCGGTTATACCGGTTAACAGTTACGGTTTTTTTGCCACCACTACTTATAAGTGGTTTTTAAGGAATTGTAAAGTGAACAATTTTTTTAGTAGGTGAATATCTAGTGGTGACTTACTAACTTTAGATATTTGGAAAATAACTTTACACCCGCCTTATAATATTTATTATAATCACTCACTTTTTTATTTTTGTAAGAATTATGTTTACTTTACTTATCCGAACTTATTTAAATTGATTTTGATAGCGAATTGGTGGTTAAGAAATTAAGTTTCATTTAGCACTACATTTGTCCACATGCTGTCATGCACAAGCTTAAATTCAATTTCACTCGGTAACTCAAACAACCAGCACCTTTAGCTCTTTATTTATTTATTTATTTACAAGACCTTTAGCTCTTTATTTAAGATAAGCACAATCACTACATTTTATTCGATACATTACAAATCTGCTTGGTGAAACCAAAATTTCAAACATACTTGCCAAGAACAACTAAATTTTGTGCTCAGCATATGATAACTTCCTTCAGCACCAATGCATTATACTCCGATTCTATCAATCGTTTCTATCAACAAAAATTCCATGATTAGTTATATACATGAACAATTTCTCACAGGAGCTGAGCATCAAATGGAGGGAGCAATGTTATCTGGTGTTCCCTTTGGTGTAGGTTATCTCACTATATGGCAGTTCCAAATCATACACTGATAACCAACTTCAAGACTGATCGAAATCTAGATCTTTGAATTCTTTCATTACAACTGATATATCATTTTGAGTAATCTTCCCCATGTCCTAAAGCTTGTATAATACAAATTCAGCAACTCTGTAAGTCAAAGAATGTGGTATTATATCAAAAATAATTAGATTGAAACCAAAGGTAAGAAATGAGGATACATTATTTTCTTATGAGAAAGCATCAGATATCATCATTCTTGTCTCATTGTACTTACTCTACACCTCCATCGATGTTTGTAGCAGCAGCCTCAAGATCTACAATAGTTGCACGCCAAGTAATAACCCACCTGACTACGGCATTTTGCCTCCTTTTAGTGCTAAGCTCAGCAAGATGAAGGAAGAATAGCCCCAAGCATATAGTGGTTGTCAAAATCCACAAAATTGCAAAAATACGGCCTGCCTCAGTAGAAAAGCCATAATCTCCATATCCCAAGGACATGATTGTAACACAAACACAATAAAAGGCATTAACAGCTTCCAACTTCTCAACCAGCATCAAGAAAACAGTCCCGCATATCATAAGTAAAAGAAGGGCTACAACAGCCACAATGCAATTTTGTTGAACTTTGCTTGTTTCCATGATATCCTTCATAATATCACCTGGGCGAATAAGTTTTTTGCGCATTTGTAATGCCCTAACGAGCAATAATTCTTGCTTCTCAGCGAGATAATTTGCACCTCGAGTGAGAACTAGCCCTACCAAAGCCATCCCCCAGAAGATGAAAGCACAAATGAGGAGCTTAGCAAGGGAACTTTGCGGGACTAAGTCACCATATCCAACTGTAGTCATGGTCACCGTACAAAAGTAAAGAACGTCTACTATGCTGTTTGTAGTCTTTGTACCACTAAGTTGATCTCTTATGGAGTAATACATAAAAGGAAAATACACTGACAAAAAGGTAAACAGTCATGAAGATAGTGATTTGTTTACATCTTCGATGGAGTTTCTTCCAGAGAGATTTGGGAGTAGGAACAGGCTCCTGATGAGCAGTTAGATTATCTCCCTAGTATAATCAGCAAATAACCTACAGGGTATTGAAAGCTCAGAGTTTAGTTTCAAAATTTTCCTCTAAAAGCTAGTATAATAAGTTTTACACAATATGGGTTAATTATTGAGGGATGACCATCTCAATCTCAAATGGGCAAAATCTCATGGGTATATTTGTTTGTTGTTCTTGGCATATGTAGGTTCATGTTTTGACAAAAAGAAGTTGAGGCATGGCTTTATCATTCTAGTTATTTCACTTCAAGTCCGTAGCTTAAGGAATAGTAAGATTGATAAAATTCCACTCCCTATTCTTAGTTTGTACCATCTCATGCAAAAAACTAATCCATTATTGATAGGAACCAATATAGTTTATATACTTAGTTATTTACACACCCCAAACCACCACAAACATCCAGTTTACAACCACGAAATTTTTTAAAACACCATAAAACATATTTGTACTCAGCATACCATCACAATTCTTTGAAATATCATCATGAAGTATATATCACCACACCATCCAAAGCATCATATAGCAACATAACCCTAGATACCACAAGATTTTTTTCGCTACCTGATATTGAAATCATTAACAACTCTTGGGAGATTCATATAATGATCCTCCTTGAACTTCCTCTCATATTCTCCCTTCTCTTCCCAAAAAAATTATGATCTATAGTGTAAAGAACAAGAAAAAAGTCCAACCAATCACTGGCTTGCTAAATTCAAATCTAACACCATATATTGGTATTTAAAAGGGTTCAATCAACAAACATAACAGAATCCACAAGTATCATGCACAAAATATGAAGCATATTCTACGTACTAAGAAACTTAAAGGCAAAAGAGAAGCAAGAAACAGAAATACTACAAACACCAGTCAATAAACAGAAATTGAAATAGGGTAAAAATAATTAATTCTTACCCAGCAATATTGGTAAGATCATATATCTGAACTTGTTGGATTTCCTGCTACATGATGGAAAGAAAAAATTACAGGGAAGAGAGAAAAGAAAAAAACATTTCCCTGCTGAAATAAGCACTTACTGCTTGCTTGAATAAATAATCATGCTCCCCATTATTTGATTTTCATGTGTACAGCTATGATAATTTATTAATTGCTTGAATAATCAATACTTAAATGGTCACCTTATTATTAAATTTTCATGTCTACAGACTACAGCTATGCTAAATAGACTACTATTCTTATTTTAAAACAGAAAGATACATGAACTCTATATTTTATTTGGTGACATCATATTGTATTCCTACCTGAATCTACCAAGTAATACCCACACTAACAAATGTACAAGTGATTGTATATCAATATATTTTCAATCTCGTTTACAAGATGGCAAAAAGTTTTCAATGATGTTCACTACATTCCCATCGTTGTTAAGAGAGGATTGTTACTTATGAAAGTAGTGAGTAGTGACATACCCAAACAACCAACAAGTCAAAAGATGGAAAACAGGCATATACATGCACACTTACAAAATCATGGCACACAAGAAATACCAAAAATCACAATCCTTTCTCATAGCTCTACTCATCCACAATTCTCTTTATCGCACTGCTTAGGTGATCACTATGGATGTAGGTTATGAAGCTAATTGTTGCAAATCATACACCGACAAAGTTCCCGACTGATCAACATCTAGTTCTTCAAATCCTTTCATTACAAGTGATATATCATTCTGTGTAATCTTCCCCATCTCCTTCAGCTTATACAATACAAATTCAGCAGTAGTAATAAGCTACAAGGAGCTATGATTTATTTAAAAAAAAAAAAAAAAAAAGGAAAGATAGAAAGAAAAAAGAAGATAAACGAAGAGTTTATACTCAGTAATAAGAAGTAGTAAGGTAATTGTGCACCATTTTATGATTCAAGGTTTAATTTCATGACATCAAAATCAATCATATAATCATATAAAAGCCTTAATTGATCCCATTATTATACCAAAATACATCTTTTACATGATTAGTTGGGCTTTAACACTATTAATTCATCACTTAAATTCATCTAGTAGTATTATGTATTACGTAGTATCATAGATTTTGTTACATCCATTCAGAATAAGTAAATTGTAAGAGCTGAACTAACCTGGTTTAATTTGTGTAATGAGGTTCTTTTAGGATATCCAGTTAAACTTAATTATTCTTTTTTCCATTTTAAAAAGTGATATCTATTCAAACATCCAAAAAAAAATATTTACGTTATTTGGAATGGAAAGGGAAAATTTTAGTTCAGGAAAAATCAAGGCAATAAATACAGTATGTGCAGCTATTATACCTCTGAAACATAAAAATGTAGAATGCTATATTTAACACTTACTCTACAACTCCATCGTTGTCCATATCAGCAGCCTCTAGATCTACAATAGTCACGCGTCGAGTAAGAACCCACTTGATAAGGGCATTTTGGCTACTTTCTGTGTTAAGCTCGGCAAGATAGAGGAAGAATTGCCCCAAGCAAATAGTGCTCATTAATATCCACAAAACTGCAAAAGCGCGACCTCCTTCTGTTGAAAAGCTAAAATCTCCATAACCCAAGGATGTCATTGTAACACAAACACAGTAAAGAGCATCCAGAGCATCTAACTTCTCTACAAAAATCAGGAAAACAATCCCACTGATGATAAGTACAAAAAGGATTAGAGCAACCACAACACACTTGTATCGAACTTTCCCTGATTCAATCTCCTTCATAACGTCACTTGGTTGAAATCTTTTGCGCATTTGCAATGCTCTAATGAGCAATGCCTGTTGCTTCTCAACGAGATAATCTGCCCCATGGCTAAGAACTAACCCTACCAAAGCCATCCCCAAGAAGACAAAAGCACAAGCAAGGACCTTAGAGAGGGCACTTTGAGGGACTAAATCACCATAACCGACTGTAATCATGGTAACCATACAAAAGTAAAGAGAATCAATGATGCTATTACTAGTCTTTTTACCACTTACCTGATCTCTTACTATATAAAAACAAACACCACCAGTAAGAAGGTAAAAAGACAAGTACATTGTTATTTTTCTAAAGCTAGGATGGAGTCTCTTAAAGAGGGATTCAGATTGAGATTAGGCTCGTGATCAACAGTTGGAAAATCTCCAGGGAGGGACACGATGAGAGGAGCGCTTCTAGACTGATTAAGTTTCTTCTTCTTTGCTACATCCTTCTGATGGCATGAGGAAGGATCAACTGATTCTGATAGCAGGGGTTTCTTTAAGTTGTTTTGATTCTCCATTTGGACAACCTTACAGGCTTTCAGCTAGCAGAATTCCTAACTATCCAGCACAATATTGGAAGTTCAATTCAGTTTCATATATGTCCCTAATTCCTTAAATAACATGGTATTAGCTTTGTGATACACTTTTACCATTTTTTCATTATAATTTATTAATAACATTTACGGAGGCAATTTACTTTGTTCCCTGATAAAATCTTGTAGAAAAGCATCATCAACAGAGTGAAAGCTCAAAACAACGCCATAGGAACATGAAGAAATAAATCTAGTTCATCATTATATCATACAAATTCCTCTTTTCCACTTTAATTTCTTTTTTCCAAATATTTGAGATTCTTGGTCAGATAATACAAAAAGAAACACAGTCAATAAAACTATGTTGTATAAATGAAACAATTGAACTTTAATTCAGATATACCCCCTCTGGTCACGTTGACAATGTAATTTGAATAAGTGTGTGACAAGGCTGAAAACTAAATCGAAAAAAGGGTAAATATAGCAAATAATACTCCACAAATCCATATCAAGCATGCACTTGGTAATTAACATTAATCATGAACTTTGATACCAAAAACAATATATAACTAGAAATCATTGTGATAAACTGGATTCAAAAGAACAGAAAAATACCAAAAGAAAAAAGGATCTTACCAAGGAGAAGACAATGTACAACAAGAAATATGAAGCTTGTAAATTCTATGGAGGACGAAAATAGGATGACAAAAAACATGACTGAATCCTTTCAGAAGGCAGACCGAGTCGGGTATGGACGAGTTAAACGATAGGGACGCGTTACACTTGCACAATATCCACTGGCCGGCCATATCTCACCTCAACTCTAATAATTCTGCTATTAATTTGATATGATCAACATAAAATTAATTCAACTAAACTGCATTATATTTAACCAAATAAAAAAAAAAATAACATCAGCTTATATGCAATTCCACTCCAAATTTCATATGTATAACATCAATATCCATAATTTAAAGTATTGAATCACAGAATAATAATAATTCAATACTGCTGTACTAAATTGAAGTTCAAATTAAACAAAATCTATCAGCATTTTAAAAAACCTTGATAATGTCAAAATTACTTGAATGAAAGCATAATCTTTAACCTAACAAATTATGTATATAATGTGAATGTCTGAAATTTAAGTAGTAATTAGCATAAGAATAAGATTGAAAAATTGAAAATTGTTGAAACCTAAATTGAAATTTGTTACAGAAAAATTGAAATCGAACCATTTTTAAGCAGAATTTGTGGCTTCGTGTGGTATTTTCTGTTGGTATTAATCACCCGCGAATGGAAGCACTGATTTCTGAAAAATAGGTTGCTTTGGAGTTTAACGTTCCCTCCATTTTCTCGCACTCCAGTAAACTTTAATTAACATGTCATTGTTTGATGATAGTCTTTCTAGCGTCATCTTGTCAAGGGGTGTTAAAAGAGCTTAGGTAGGCTCGGGTCGAGCTCAAATTTCATCAAGCCTATAAATATTGAGCTCGACTCGACCTTGAGATGACAACATTGACAAGGCTCATAAAGATGAGCTCAGCTCGGCTTGGCTAAAGGCTTAAGGCTCGATCAAGGTTCGTGAAGCTCAAAATCAAAAAGTTCTAAATGGTACCAATAGTCATTGTTTCAAAAACCATCA